CTCCGGCAGCCCCCCTGGCACGGGCAGCGGCAGCAAAGCATCCCGTCCTGGCCTGGGCACCCTGAGCCGCAGCCACCTGCAGCGCCTGGCCATTGCCCAGTCCCGAGTGCTCATTGCCTCCGGGTGAGTCCTGCTGCTTGCCAGTCACAGGCTACATCTGGGGAAAACAGGGGCAGCACAATGTTCTTTTCCTCTCCCCAGGCTGCAGAGGGGCCACAGCCCCATGGGAATCCCCACTGCAGGGGTGTTGTCACCCCTGATCCTGGTGGTGGACAGGCCTTGGCAGTCCCCAGTCTCTGTTGGGTGGAGGGCTTTGCTGGGCCCCTCGCCTTCCCTGCAGGTGCCTGGGGAATGGAGATGGGACAGGGTGGCTTCTGCATCTCAATGAGGAGGCTGAGGTTGCTTTTTTCCTTGGTGGAAGGGAATGGATGGGGGACTGCAAAAGGCCCAAAGAAAAGTCATTCAGGTCCCATGAGAAGGGGATCCTCCAGACCCCCACCTTCCAAAGACTTTTTTTTTCAAGGGGGTGGGCATTTAATGAGCCTGTTATTCCCCTTTGTCTGGCTCTGCCATCAGCCTTCTGTCGCAGCCTGGCCCCTTTCCTCTCCCTCTCCGTCCTCCCCCTTCCCTCTGCTCCTGACCCGCCAGGAAACTTTCCCATGGAAGAGAGCCCCAAGGGGAGGAGGGGGAAAGAGCTGTGCGGTGATCAGACCGGCCCGGGGAGCAGTGACAAAAAGGGGCCATGAATGGAGACGCATGCAGGGTTTCTATAGAGGAAGAGAAAAGGCGGTGGTGGAGCAGGGGGGGCACGTCGCCCCATCGGGGAATTCTCTGTTTCTAGCCAGGGCCTGTGCAGTTGCTCAGGCAACTATTGTCTGGCCCCCACGGGCTGCAGGGACATGGGTGCTTGCCCCTGGCCTTGATGTGGTCTCTGCTGACTCCTCGCAGGGTCCCTACTGTCCCCGTGAAGAACCTCACTGGCTCCAGCCCTGTCAACCCAGCACTGGCAGGTGAGGATGGGGCTGTCGGGGGTGCCTGCTGGCCTCCCTCACGGGCTGGTTTTGGGGGGAACATCTGGGGCTTGGGATGGCGCTAGTTCCTCCCTGACATTTTGAACCTCCTCACCCAGGGATTACAGGAATCCTAATGAGTGCGGCTGGGCTGCCTGTCTGCCTGACACGGCCCCCCAAGCTGGTGTTGCACCCCCCACCTGTCAGCAAAAGCGAGATCCAGTCCATCCCTGGAATTTCCCACACCTGTCGCAAAACCACCAAGAAACAAGCCAAGAAGGGTGAGAGGCACTTGGCAACTTAACCCCTCTTCCTGTACCCCCTTCCCTACCTGGTTCTGCTGTCCCTCCTGTGCCCTCCTGCTGTCCCCAGCAGTGGGTTTCCCCCATGCTGCCCTCCAGCCCCTCTGACTCTTGCTCTCCTGCAGGTAAAACCCCAGAGGAGGTACTGAAAAAATACCTGCAGAAGGTGCGGCATCCACCGGATGAGGTGTGAGCAGGGGGGTTCACGCTGGGGTGTTTCCAGGGTACTTTGTTCTGGGAGGAGCAACTGGGGACACGGACTATGCCAGTGTGCCATGCAGGGGTCTCCTGCCACCCCTCATGGCTCTGCCCTGTCCCACTCTGAAGGGGGGCTATGTGCCACAGGCACGCGTTGGCTGGCCCCTGCGGTGGCCCAGGGTGATGACACAGCTCCAGGGGTGGATGCTGGTCCCTTGGCAAGGACAGGGCAGCTTATCAGCCCCATGTCTTGGTGAGGCTCTGGCTGCATCCGTCCCCCTCTTCCTCTCCCCCCTCTCCTTCTGCGCAGGACTGCACCATCTGCATGGAGCGCCTCTCGGCACCCTCCGGCTACAAGGGATCCCAGCCAGCTGTCAAGCCTGACCTGGTGGGGAAACTGATGAAATGTGGCCATGTCTTCCACCTCCACTGCCTGGTCGCCATGTACAACAATGGCAACAAGGTACAAGGCTGCAGCCCGGGCAGGGGATGGCCAAGCACTCTGGCATAGTGACCTGTGCTGAGCTGTACCTCCCCTCAGTGGAACACTGCTTGAGTTCTGCTGCCCTGGAAGGCTCTGACCTCCCTGCCCTGTGACAGAGTTTAATTTTTATCAGCAGCAAGCACTTTGCTGAATCAGAAACAGGGGTTGTATGCGTGGTTTTTTTTACCTCACTATCATAGAATCATAGAATGGTTTGGGTTTGAAGGGACCTTAAAGATCATCCGGCTCCAACCCCCCTGCATGGGCAGGGACACCTCTCACCAGACCAGGCTGCTCCAAGCCCCATCCAACCTGCCCTTCAACACTGCCAGGGATGGGGCAGCCACAGCTTCCCTGGGCAACCTGGGCCAGGGTCTCACCACCCATGCACCAAATAATTTCTTCCTAATGTCTAATGTAAATCTACCCTCTTCCAGCTTAAAACCATTACCTCACGTCCTAATCACTACACACCCTGGTAAAAAGTCCCTCCCCAGGGACTTTCCTGTAGCTTTCCCCCAGCTTTCCTTCAGGCACTGGAAGGCCACTAACTATAAGGTGGTCTCAAAGCCTTCTCTTCTCCAGGCTGAGCAGCCCCAACTCTCCCAGTCTGGCTTTGTAGGAGCCAGCCCTCGGATCATCTTTGTGGCCCTTCTCTGTACTCACTCCAAGAGCTCTATGTCCTTCCTGTGTTGAGGGCTCCAGAACTGGACACAGTGGGAGTCTCAAAGCGCAGAGTAGAGGGACAGAATCACCTCTTTTGACCTGCTGGCCACACTTCTTTTGATGCAGCCCAGGACACGGTTGCTTTCTGGGCTGCAAATGCACATTGCTGGCTCATGTTGAGCTTTTCATTGACTAACACCCTCAGGTCCTTCTCCTCAAAGCTCTTCTTAATGCATTCTCTGCCCAACCTGTATTTGTGCTTGGAATTGCCTGCACCCAGGTACCTATGACCCTGCTTTCCTTCCCAGGAAGTTAGTTAGTGGTGGAACTTTGATCCCTGCATGTTTGAGCACAGCTACTCAGCAACACAAACAACAGAACAAAAAGCTCCAAACCCAAAATAGAGGCAGGGAAAGTAGTAAGGACTGTAAAACTGAGGAGTAAGGGAAATGTAGAACTCAGGCTTTGGTTAAAGTTGGGTTACTGTAGCAAATGCTCTCAGCCCTATCCCCTGCTTCCTGAGTGATTTCAAAATGGCTCTTTTAATGATGAAAACAGTGTTTGGTGCTGCTCAGGGATGAAGCCACCATGGCATGGGGCTGTTTAATTATGTTCCACTCTTTTTCTGCTCACAGGATGGGAGCCTGCAGTGTCCCACCTGCAAAACCATCTATGGGGTGAAGACAGGGACACAGCCCCCCGGGAAGATGGAGTATCACCTCATCCCTCACGCGCTGCCTGGCCACTCCGACTGCAAAACCATCCGCATCATCTACAACATCCCCCCGGGTGTGCAGGTACGGCCCGGCCCTGTGCTCGGGGTATGTGGGTGGTCCCCTCTGGGGGCTGGTGGCCCTTGTCACCACTGGATCACTGCTGACACACTGCAGTTCATGCCTTGACTCGGGGCTCTGGGTTCAGTGGTGCCTCAGGAACTGCATGTCTGTAAGAGTGTTGTGGGAAATCTGGGGTCCATCTGCACAAAAGTGGTGGCCCTGTCTGCTTGCTGGCAGTGGGGATGATGCTGTTCAGGGCCACTGCAGAAGCATGGCTGCCCAGCACAGCAGCAAGCAGTTCTGCATCCACTGAGGTTGGGGAGTTATCTTGTGCCCAGAGCATCCCTCTGAGCTCAAAGTTTTGTTCCTCTCCAACTCCACATACCGCAGGGACCGGAGCATCCAAACCCTGGGAAGAGCTTCACTGCCCGTGGCTTCCCCCGGCACTGCTACCTGCCAGACAGTGAGAAGGGCAGAAAGGTGAGGGTCTCACCTGGGTGGCTTGAGCTGGCCAAGGCATGCTCAAGGACATATCGGGGGGGAGAGGGAGCGAGCAACTATTTGGAGCCCTGGGAAAAACAAATAGGGCTTATGCAGGCAAATCTGGATGGGGTTTTTACCCCTATAGTCCATCCAGTGTGCTCTGTGGAAGCCCAGCAACGTTCCCATGTGCTGGGAGAGCTCTGCAACCTGGTCCCACTATTTTGATTGGGCGAGGACCCCATGCTGTGATTCTAAGCTCCCTGGGAGGGCTTGGTTGTGGGTTGCTCACATTGCTGGGGTGTGCCAGGATGATCAGGCATATTCTGAGCACCACTGTGTTTCCCCTTGTTGCATTTGCCTTGCTGCCGGCCCCATCCCTTCCACACAGGTACTGAAGTTGCTGCTGGTGGCCTGGGACCGGCGCCTGATCTTCGCCATTGGGACCTCCAGCACCACAGGCGAGTCAGACACTGTGATCTGGAACGAGATCCACCACAAGACGGAGTTTGGCTCCAACCTTACTGGCCACGGCTACCCTGACATCAATTACCTAGACAATGTCCTGGCCGAGCTCGCGGCCCAGGGCATCACGGAGGAGAGTCTGGCACAGGAGAAGGACTGAGGCTGCAGCGGGGAGGCAAGGAGAGAGGGGTGCCAGTGCTGCCCCCTCCCCCAGGGATAAAGCTGCTGGAGAAACCTGCCTGGGGGCTTTGCAGGGGGCACTTGGAGCCCCCCTGCTCCTAGTGGCACTTACCCATTGGGAGCATCTCCCAGGCTGGCTGGGAATGCGGGAGAAGGTCTTTTTGGCCAGCCATCCCCTTCTCCCCTGCAGACAGGGAACCACCCCCCTGCAGAGCCATAGTGCTTCACACTGGCCTGTCTGTCCCCTCTGGCTGGTGTCCTGGCCTTGCTACCACCACACCAAAGGCTTGGAGAGTGTCAGACTTTCTCCTCCATCTGTGGGATGGTTCCAGCCCAGTCTGATGCCCCTGACACCTACCTGGGGCTGTCACCTGGCCTGGGGTGGGAGTGAAGGCCATGGGAGTCTCCCTCATTCTGCCTCGTTCCTCAGCCATCTGTTCATTTGTTTGTCCTGTCCAGTAACTCCCCACTGGTCTCCTGTGTCCATGGAGGTGGAGGGGGCCTCAATCTGTCTCCACTGGCTCCCCAGCCCTGTGCCCCCTTCTCTTGGCTGTGTCTGAGCTGTGCCCTGCAGGGTCCAGTTGTCTGGGCTGTCCTCCCTGTTGGGGCAGGGGAGAAGGGGCTGGAAAGGGTGTATTTCCTGGCCTGTCTCCCACCCCTTGTGTAGTGGGTTCCTTGAACTGTTTGTATGGGGGTGTCCCCGTGTTGAATTTTTATATACCTCGTGTTTTGGGGTTTTGTCGTATATATGTACATATGGGTAGTGGCGTTTTGGGAGGTGGCCTGGAAGAGTGTGATGCTGTGTCCAGACTGGGCACTGAGCCTGATGGTGCTCAGGACAGGACAGGGACAGCGTCTATCCTACTGTGAGGAAACCCCCATCCCCCCCCAGAAAGGGTGTCAGTGCCCTGTGGTGGGGCTGTCACCTGTGGGGCCCTGTAGGTCCGGGTGCAGGTGTGGGTGGGAACTGGGCCCTTTCCTACTGGGTTGCAGCACCATGTCCAGAGGTCCCTGGGGAGGCCTTGTTGTGGGGGGGGTGTGACTTGCTGGCAGTGGGTTGGCATGACAGTTTTGGGCTGGGGCTGGGCTTGGTGTGGGGAGGGGAGTGTGGGTGATGTGGCTGGGGGAGGGTTGCATGTCATCTTGAGATCCCTACCTGCCTCTTGGGGACTTCTAGGGCCTTTCAGTGCCACCTGTGACAGGGTGCTGGGGAGGTTCCCACAGCTTTGGCCCTCATCCCATTGATGGGGGCTGTCTGTCCCTGTCCCGTGGGGCCCCTGGGGCTGGAGAGTGGAGCAGGGGCAGCACCCAGGCTGCACCCAGCCCTGCACTGTTGATCCTAGCCCATTTTGTTGCATTTTCCTGGGGGGGTCACTCATCCTCTGTCCCAGGGGATGGTGGCATAGGAGGGGGACCTGTCCTGCTGTGCATCGTTCTGTTGTTGCTGTTTTTTCTCTCCCTGGCCTGAGGGGTGCATTGCCCCGAGCTGGCCACCCCGTGGAGGGGAGGGTGGTGGTCAATAAAACAGATGGCAGGGGATACTCACTGTCCCTGCATGGCCTGGCCTCTGTCGTCTTCTGTCCGTCGTCTGTGTGGCCAGGTGAGCAAAGGGGCATCACGGGGAGGGCCAGGCCCCCCTTGTTCCCCTGCTGCCCCTTTGCTCCTGTCTGTCCCCAGCCATCCTTAGCATGGAATGTTCCTTTCTACCTCAATGGGTAAAACCTCTTTTCCCCAGGAAACCCAAATTTTTGGGGCTGCTCTGCAGCCAGGGGAGCTGCAGCAGTGTGGTTTCTCTACCCGAGCCCCGGGCTTCCGCCACTGCAGGAAAACCCCAGTTGGAGCTATGCAAAACCCTTCGTGAGGGGGGAGGAAGGGGAGTCCCCACCCCAGTCCCCAGCTGCCAGTCTGAAGGCTCTATAAGGTGACACAATTGTTTCACATCATGATTTTTTTTTTTCTTTTTTAATGCTGTGTTGCCTACACAGTTGCTGGCTGAAATAAAACTGATCCGTGCCTCTCTGCATGCGTCAGGATATCTATCCCGATAGATATACCTGGAGACAGGGGTGGCTGTTCGGCTGCAGCAGCCGGTGGCTGACTCCTTGCTTGGGGCCCCTCTGCTCCCTTCTGTCCCAGGGGCGAGGCGTGACTGATTCTGTCCTGCTGCCTGGGTGCCCACAGCAGCTGGGGAGGCTCTCTGGGCTGGGAGGGCTGGTGGGGGGATTTTCCCAGGATTTGGGCTCCAGCATGCATCCTGACCCATTGCTTTTACAAGCAGCAAGTCTCCGCCATTGACATGCTGAAGTCCTGCTGGTCAGGGTAAGGAAGGGGGTTTGCAGAGCTTCCCTGGATTTTTGGGACCAGCTGTGGGGGAGAAGATAGCTATGCATGGTGTTGCCTTCTCCTTGAGCATGTCAAAGGGCACCTCGGTCCCCTTTTCTTTTTTGCGGGGTGGGAGTGGGGGCAGCATGCAGCTGGAGCATGGTGTGTCATGGAGGGAAAACTTGATTAACCCTGAAGGGACAGAGCCCTGGGGCTGGTTGGAGGGAGGAGTTGCACCCATGGAAGTGCAGGGGCTGGTGGGTCTCTGGTAGATGCTGATAGCTGGCCTCCAAAGTTAGCAGGGAGGGATATCTGAAAGCTATGGAGCCTCCCAGCTGTGCAAGGCTGGAGCTTGGGGACATGGTATCACCCCATGGAGGGGTAAGAGTGAGGCCTCCATGGGGACAGGGACCGTTGGCTCTAGGGGGACAAGGGGACAGGGCTGGTGGCACTGCACAGCTTTGCCCCTGAAGAAGGGGGTGAGTAGGGGGGTTTTGCTGGGGTTTGGGGCAGAAGGCATTTCCTGGCAAGTGGGGGGGTGTTAAGCCAAAAGCCCCTCTGGCTCTTGCTGGTACCCCTCGCCCACATTCAGCACAGTGCTGTCCTGGGGGCTCACAGGGACCAGGCTGTCCTGTTCACCCATTGTGCGGTACCCCCTTGCCTTGTACCTCCGGCAGCTGTAGGAGACAGTTGCCAGGATGGTGGCCAGTCCCACCAGGACTGCTGCGGTGATGCCAGCCACCTCGCCCCCCCTCAGGCCCC